GAATGCAACATAAAGTTTAGACTGCTGCTCTTTTACTTTTTCCTGTAGTTGACGGATGGAAAATATGGAATCGACGTTGCCGCGGTTGGTACGAAAACCCGTTTGCGATTCTGGAAGGTTTTTTTCTATATATGGGTGCAGGCGGTTTGACATTATTTTTGCAAGAATTTTTCCGCCGATAGCCAATAGCGAAATTCCCCGGTAATTTCCGCAGTCTGATGCACTTCCTTTGTTCTTAAATATATTCACTATATTCGCGTTGCGAAAATCCTGAGGTACCTCTCCGCTTTCCCATACGACATCGAAGAGAGATTAAGATGACCAATAAGTTCTTTACTTATACACTTATAGATTTCCGCCGGAATCGCGTCACAGCCAGCTGATTTGTTGTTTTTAAGCTGTTCGTAAAAAAATATATGGATCTTAGTTCTGGCACACACTGTACATTTCAAAATAATTTTAAATTATGCACATTGCCTCTCTACATATGCCCACAAAAAATTTTGGTTTTACATCTTTCCGTTTTCGTATAATTAGCCGAGGCGAATGAGGTGCGCCGTGGGCCACCCTGTATGGAAGCATCTTGTTAAAATTATTATGACAGTAGTAACAGGTTTTGAGAAAAACTGTGTTACAATCCTTAAGCTTCATTCAGAACCTAGCAATTAGTGGAATAAATTAGTGGTTTCAATTACACTTTACACTTTTTAGTTTACGATCATTCACGATGTCTAAAAAACACAATTAAAATTAATAGAATTTCCTAGCAACAGCTTACGGTATTCAGTTGTATCCATAGAGAAAGCAATAATAGGCTTTCTCTAGGGATACAACTGAGTATATACAACTGAAACAATCAACTTTTGATTTTTAACCACAATTTCTCTTGACGAATGATAATCAAAGGCGAAAATGACATTCCTCGCAAATTTTGAAGTGTAATTAGTAGAAATGTTAAAAGTTTATTAACTTTTTCTACTAATTGTAAATGACTACCACTAATTTTAGCGTTCTGAATGCTTACTTTGAAATTAAAGGAACAAACTTCTATGCTAATTGAAACCATTAATTTATGCCATTAATTTTACGGTTCTGAATCAAGCTTTAAATATGAACCGGAACCTAAAATCCGCATTCAACAAATGAATTGATTTGGAATTTTAAATATTGAAAAAAACTAAGTAGAGTAAACGCCACGAATGTTTGGGAGTAATTCATCGGTCGCTACCATGTGAACTAATCTGTTCAAGGTCACATAAAACTTAATTCCAGTGCCGTGGTGTTTCAAGTCATATAATAATCAATATATAATCTGTTGTAATTTGTTGTTTTAACTGTCAAAGTCTTGTCAAAACATATATTTGGTTATAAATATAAACTGGAATGTCCCATTGGTCGCACTGCAAGCACACCAATGGAGTGACGCACAAAAACGAACCAATCAAAGAAACGCGATATAGTATCGTCTTTGTCAATCACGCTAACCTTTTAGAATAAGTAGGAGGAGCGCAGGCAGATTAGACCGGGCCTTTAAAAACCTACGTCTGCGGTAAAAATTTACGTTTTTAATGTAAAAATGATAGAGCGCGTGTCGATTCTAACTTCATCAAGCGATGAATCACTCCCAAACATTCGTGGCGTTTCCTATACTTTTATTTTACTCAAAGTGTGATTGTGCATTTCCAACATTTTCTGAATAGCACAACTTTGAAGACAATAAATTCTTTAAAATTTAAAAGATAACATAATGTAGAATTAAAAAAAGTATATTTGTCTCGTTTTAATTCTAAAATAATATTAAAGGCATGAACGACGGTGCATACTAGAGGCAGCATTCCAGGCCTTGGGTGCCGATTTTCGTGTGTACGAAGAGTACGGTCAACACGCCTAGTAAAATAAGATGTACTGAATAAAGACAGAAGAACAAGTATTTTCTTTTTTATTTTGGAATGTAGATACAGATTAAGTGGTTATGTAATAAATCTTTGTATTTTTGCTCTCTCCAACTTAGTAGATTGCCATAATAGCGATTCACTCCTATACATGTAAACGCCGACCCAAGGTTTCGCTTGCCAGGATGGTATAAAGTTTTGTCATGATGTATACAAATTAAAGTTTTACTGTTTATTAATTATTGATTTATGTATTACAAATCAGACGTATTTAAGAAATTTTTAAAAGTAATAGTAATCATTTAAAAGGCTAAGCTTAGTACATAGAATAGATGAAAGGTGACATAAGTAAGTATAATAAAAACAACAATTCTATGTATTTTTTAATGTACAGTGTGTTTAAAAAGTTCGATGATAAAGAGTGATTTGTGTGATAACAGAAGGAAAAATACAGGAAATTACATTAAGAATATCAATAATTGTCAGCGACAATAATAATCTCAATCTTGGTCACAAGAAACTTTTGATAATAAAGAATCTCTAATTTACTGTAAACCTGATATATATTTTTTATACAGGGTGCTACAAATTCGAGGTACGAGCATTGGTATCTCGGTATTTTTTGGAAAAAAACGGATTTTTTTGAAAATGAATTTTATTTTTTCCTGTCGTTACTTTTAAGAAAATCAAAAAACTAATTGCACATTTTCATAGCCACTTTAGGGCTATCTGATAGTATTTTTAGATTTTCAAATTAGCTGATAAATTGTGAGATACAGAGGCCAACCTAATTTTTTTAAATACGGACCTGCATTTTTATTTGCGGTTTTGAAAGAACTCGGCCTCCTGAGCACATTGATATGCCACACTTTATACCTTTTTTTTGTTTTGGGCACCTTAACAACAACAAAACTATTTAATTACTATTTAAAATTACTTCAAGTCCGACTCTGGTTTTTTAAATTATTTAATCTGATTATATTATCGCAACAATATTGATCAGCGCTAATTAACATTGATGGCATCATTACAGATAAAAAAAACTCTCAAGATGGAGGCAGTACATGGAGGAGCTCTTCGGAAACGAAAATAGCGACGACATAACTGCAGGAACTGGCAATATAGAGCCCACCATTACACAGGAAGAAGTAGAAGCAGCTATCAAACGTCTGAAAAACAACAAGACTTCCGGACCGGATCAGATACACGGAGAAGTTCTTAAACTGTTGGACTCGGAACAAGTTCAACTACTGACCACCCTATTCAACAAAATTTATACAGGTGGTCCAATCCCAAACGACTGGCTGCTATCAACATTTATACCGCTTCCCAAGAAGGCAAACGCGACCAAATGCTCTGATCACAGGATAATCAGTCTGATGAGCCACGTCCTAAAAATCCTCTTTAATATCATCCAAACACGTATATATAGAAATCTCGATGAAAACGTAGGTGAAACTCAGTCCGGCTTCAGAAAGGGATTGGGCACCAAGTAGGCTCTGTTTTCAATACAAGTCCTAATCCAACAAGCACGCGACGTCAATGTAGATGTCTTTGCGTGATTTATAGACTTCGAAAAGGCTTTTGGTAGAGTCCAGCATGACAAATTCATCTCGATTTTACAGGAATCAGGAATAGACGATAGAGATACAGAGATAATAGCAAAACTTTATCGTCAACAAAAGGCCGTGGTTCGAATCGAGAACGAAACTTCAGAAGAGCTTAGTGTAAGGAGGTGACAGGGCTGTATATTGTCGCCTCTGCTATTCAATGTGTACTCGGAACATCTATTTAGAGAGGCACTGGATGGCACAGAGGATGGGCTGGTAATAAACGGAGAAATAGTAAACAATTTGAGATATGCAGATGATATCGTTCTGTTGGCCAATACCGCTGAAGGTCTCCAAAGGCTTATAGATCGTGTGGCGAATACATGCAGCAGATACGGAATTAAGATGAACTGCAAGAAGACTCAAACGTTGATCATTAGCTAGAACTACATCAACAACTTTCAGTTCACTGCTAACAACATCGTTCTCCAAGCGAGACAGTTGCATACCTGGGCTGCACCCTGACTAAAGGCTGGGACCACTCCCGCGAAATACCAGAGAGGGACATTTAACAAAATGCGAAATATACTATGCAACTTGTCCCTCAACGTCCGCACTAGAATCAGAATCCTAAGATGCTACGTGCTCTCAACCCTTCTATATGGAGCAGAGGCGTGGACCCTTACCGACGCATCATGCAAGCGTGTGGAGGCATTTGAGATGTGGTGCTATCGGCGCATGCTTAGGATTTCGTGGGTGCATCGCGTGTCAAATGAGACTGTACTACATCGCATCAATCGAGTTGGAGTTTCTGGTAAATGTCAAACGAAGAAAACTGGAATACTTCGGACACATCATGCGGAACGAGAAATACCGCCTACTCCAACTCATACTGCAGGGGAAAATAGAAGGCAGAAGATCAGCGGGACGCAGACGAATATCGTGGCTGCGAAATCTACGAACATGGACCGGATTGACGTCAACAGCTTTGTTCAGAACGGCAGTAAACAAAGTAATATGGATCAATGTGATAGCCAACATTCAAATAGGATAGGCACTTTAAGAAGAAGAAGAATTAACATTGAATAAGGAAAATCGAGCCAATTGGAAGATTTAAATAAATTATATCGAGGTCAGCAATTTAAAAATATTTTATATATTTTTTTTATTGTGAATTTGAAATCTTAGTGTACGATCTAATAATATGCGTAATATTAATCGTAGTTATTATCAATAAATCAACTTCTACAAACTAGTTTCTAATGCTCTACGTGTGCGAAAGGGTTACCACCCTCCCTCTTGCACAAATTTATTTTTCGTTTAATTTTATTTATATCTCTTTGAACTTTCTTCTTCTACTTCCGAATGCATTTTCTACTCTTTTCAAAAATATCATTTTCAAAAATATTTTTACAAAATAACTAACTAACTTTTTTGATGGCACCTTGGTGAACATACCAAAGCAACTTTGCCCCAATTTAACCATGTTCGTATCTATTTACGGTTACCGAGATAGCAATGCTCGTACCTCAAATTTGTAGCACCCTGTATTGTTAAATATTTAACTTGATAATAAAATGTTCTATTTATAACAATTGAGAACCCTAATCGAGAGAAGAAATAATGTTATTTTATAATGTTTATTATATTTACGTCGTACATAAGCGAAAGTTTCAAAATACCTAATTGTAAAAGTGGATTTACATGTCAAATGTGTGTCTAAACATTTAACTAATCAATAATACTTATAGCTAACGTCTATGATAATTAATAATCTAAATATTCTGTAGTTAGTTCAGTTTGGTTCTTTTCCACACGATCGGAATTACCAAACTGAACTAAAGCTATAAAGTATGTGGTTGTGTTGCCAATAACACCAAACAAAGTGCTTCTTTGGATTTCGAAAAAGTTTGCAGCTGTGAACTGGATCTTCCTGTGACTTAGTTTATCCGCGAATACGCTTAGTTCGTGATACTCGTCCGAAGACGATGGGTACTTTTCTTGAAGGTTTAGACATGTAATCAGTAGTTTCTCGGATGATCTTTTGGCTTTGTCACAGCATATCATCAAACAGAACTGCACAATCTGAAACAAAAGAGAATACATATATATTATGTTTGTTTAGTCTAAGCAAACATTTTTATGAAGAATACATTGTTCTCAAAATGTCAATGATAAAAAAGTTTTTCCTCTTGTAAAGTAAATCCGGGGACATACTGTACGTTGGAAAGGAAGTGTAAGGTAATTTCTACTTGTTTAGTTTTTCTAGGAATTTTGAAGACGACGTTATAAGAATTATTAATCCGGTCATTCAAAGAAATGGCTTTTTTTTCGTCCAGAAAATATTTTAATTGCGATGGTAATTGATGAATCCAAATCCCTATAAGGGAGTTAGGTTATCGTCGTCTACTAAAAATTCTTCAGCAAATACAGGATAATGACATAAGATTTTTTACTATTCCAAATATTAATTTTAATTATTTATAATTGAATTGGCAGTCTTGTAAAGTAACGGAAGCTCCACTATTAACTAATATTTCAAACAAGGATATATTAGCAATGATAGAAAACCCCGATACAATAGAAATTGTTATATATCCGTTTAATACACAAGCTGCTGAACGATGTGTTAAACTTGTTACCGAAGCTTCTATGGCGGTCTGTGGGAAGGACAACAGGGATGGGTTTATTCAATGACATCTAAATAAAGTAGACCCAGCATTTCATTCATAAAAAGGAAAAAATCAGAATCAGACATTCGTTTCTTGTTGTATGCAAGTGGGAAAAAGACGGGCTGATCGCAGACATGAACGATTCCCGAGAGAATGGCAACGCTGTTCAGAGATCTTGAAAATGTGAGCCAGTGGCGTAGTTACTTTGATTGTAATATATAATAATATTATATTCGCATAAATATGATTTTTGGATACGATATATTGTTGTGCTAGATGGCTCTTCAAATTTTGAAAATGACGACTTCTATTCTCCAATAACTCCAATATCTTGAAAATATCTAACTGAAATATTATAATATGCACATTTTCATAGTATTGTCTGTAAATTGCTCCAGTAGTAATATAATCCATCGAGCATTCAATGAATACGAGCCGAAGACGACTTTTATAAAACATTTATGTGAATAATTATTATGTGAAATATGTGAATTAATGGTTATTTTTGATGGAAGCAACAGTGGAAAATAAGAATATTTTAAAACTGTCGTGACTAATTACAATTTTATATTAGGTATAAAAATATTACTAAATATCAACGATACTAAAGATCTCTGTTAAACAAAAGAAAATTTCTAAAATATTTACTTATAGCGTGTACCAGCGACTTCGTTCGCGTCGAATTAATCATTTGTAATGGTGATGATAAAGCAAAGCAAGAATTTCCATTAACATACAAACTGGATAAAATTTTCTCACATTTATGTCAGCATGAGAAAAAAAAAACAATATGGCGATATTATTATATAACTTGGTAATATTGGAGGGGTAGTTTCATCTCGTTGAAATTTGAATTTTGAAAAATCCGTTTTCCAAAAATAAGCTTTTTGCGTCAAGCAGTTTAAGCAGAAACGTGGTTAAGAAATTACCCAACTTTTTTGAACACCCTGTATGATTTTTTAAAAAAATTCAAAATATGAAACAAGTAAATTATGCTTGTCAAAGCGTTTTCCCGAAAGACTAACCGTTTTTTAAATAACAAATATTGTAATATTTGAGGGGCGTTTTTACCCTCTTGGAATTTGAGATTCGAGAAACCCCCCCTTATCGAACCTCTACACCCGACAGTCAATCCGTTTACCAAAAATCAGCTTTAAACGTCAAGCAGTTTAAGCAGAATCGTGATTACTCAATGGTCATATTTTATGAAACACCCTGTATAAATTTATAAAAAATCTTAAAATATGTAAAATAACAAAATAAAATATACGTGTTTAAGAGTTTTCCCGAAAAACTCACCGGTTTTTAAATAAAAAATATTTTAATATTTGAGGGATAGTTTCACCCCCTTAGAATTCGAGTTTCGAAAATCCTTCTTATCGAACCACTACACCCTAAAGTCAATCTGTTTTCCAAAATCAGCTTTTTACGTCAAGCGCTTTAAGCAGGATCGTGATTAATCATTGACCAGATTTTTGAAAACGCCCTGTATACATTTTAAAAATCTTAAATATGTAAAAAAAAAACAAAATAAAATATACGTGTTTAAGCGTTTTTTCGGAAACTTGACCGTTTTTTAAATAAAAAATATTGTAATATATGAGGGGTGGTTTCACCCTCTTGGAACTGGAATTTCGAAAAATCCCTTCTTATCGAACCTCTATACCCTAGAATCAACCTCTATGCCAAAATTGAGCTTCTTACGTTGAGTGGTTTAAGCAGGATCGTGATTAATCAGTATGCCAGTCACTTAAAGATTTTATATATTAGTATAGATTTCTGGAACAGTTTCTTCGCGGATAATTGGGACTTACTGAATAAATAATTAACTTTTCATGAGAAAATGCTAAACAAAAAATATGTAATGCTTTATATAACGTATCAAACAAAGACTCATTCATTTTTTAAACTATATATTTTTTTTAGTCTTAATAAACAAAACAAAAAATACATTCCTCTATTACCACAAAAATTATACCATTGGCTGCCTAAATTTAGGAGTAAGATAGTAAAATGCGTACATTTTCCGCATCAGCTGGCGTTGCGACGTTGTCGATTGTTTTATGTAAAATTTCTTAAAATATAAAAATTATAATTATAGAAGATTTAAATAACGGCTAATGCTGATTGGGAGTAGTTCGTGATAATAGGCTACCTTTAATTAATATCGGTTTAAAGTATTCTACGACGTAATCTATATTTGGAATTATGGAATTCCTGGTTTACAATGTGGATTAGCTATCCCCGTACGTATACGTAGGTAAGATTTCCTTTTAAATGCGGCCGAAGTGGAAATTTGGCATACATGCAATTTTGTAGGCAAGGATGGATTTCGCCAAAATGTAAGTCGCCGGGTCTAATTTATTTAGAGCTCATTGGATTTATTAAATAAAGAATACACTCAAGACAACAAATGCCGCATTTCAATACAAAATGTGAATACTCACTAGACACTCCATAAAATTTACAATATTACTTAGGAGGTGGAAGGAGGTGATATATGATTGACGTGGTAATGGTGAAACTCGAAAAGCAGACACCTCCTCGTGGTGAGTTCTGAATTGATTGCTAAATTTGTGTAAAAAAATGTGATTCTGATTTTTTGCTAAAATTTTGAGAACCACTGGATCTTTTCTGGATTTTCTTTCTTTCTTGTAAATTTAATCTCATACCTATGTTGCCATATTATCAAGAAATTATGTTTTTTTAACTAAAACTAAAAAAAAAATCTAAAAGATTTTTCAAAACATTTCGAATTTTCCAAATTTTTTTTTCGCGAAAAAACCTCATAGGTTTGTTTCTGTGGTTGAACTATACTACCAGTTAAAATACTTGAACTTATTTCTGGGACACCCTGTATGGCAAATTTCAAACCTCCGGATGAACCTCTTACCTCTTAAAGAAAAACCCAAGGGTCGAGATTAGCTACCCAATTAAGAACTTTTAAGCACTAGCCCACGGCAAATTAAAAAAATCGACCGATTTTACTCTACCCTATTCCCCAGCCGTCTTTGAAGCCGTTTCTTTCGACTTTTGTACTACTTGCTGTTTATAATCAATTGAAAAACATATTCTTCCGACTGTAGGTACCTACTTTGCGCGTACTGTCTGTTGTATAGTGGCCTATATAGTAAATAGTGTATTGTATAGTGGTATATAGTACTTTGCGTATTGTCTGTTGTCTAGTGGCCGAGAAAAAAAAATGACAGACAAAAACATTTAAATTTATGAATTACGTAATTGCAAGGTTTAACTTACCACTGAATAACTACTATACACAGTGAGCGTTACATCATATGTGTACACTGTAGATTTGTTAAAAAATTCCTTGATCCAAATGGACAGTACAATAATTGAAAACATAAGAATAGTTACAAATAGTTGCTTTCCAAATAATTGATTAAATATATCTACGATGCTCACTAGATCCAAATGCAATTGCCTTGCCTGTTTAATTATTTTGTCAGTACATGGACTGTATGGACTTCCCAAAACTATGTTGATTATGCAATTCGATTTTTCTTTGAAATATATTACAACAAAATTAACCAAACATATTATAATTAATGCATGGTAAATAATTATCGTATACAGGCTAAGTATCAAATCCGACTCATTGTTATGAAGTAAAGCTTTTACTAAAGGAAAAGCGAGACTCAATAGATTAAAAGCTATGAAAATTACTGTTCTGTCAAAAATAAACAAAGTTTTTTTAGCAGTACTGAAGAACATCATGTATTTGTTACTCTCGAGAATGAAGCAGCGTTCAAAAAAATCTTCCCAAAGTGGGACCTTGTAATATGAATCGAAAACACCACAGAGGGCATTTAAGCAAAATAGGAGGAATATTGCTATATCAAACAATGTCTTCATTAATCCATCACGTCCAGAATAGTATATTAAAAAATATAGAAAAGTACTAAATACCGAGCTGTAGAGTAACAGGCCCCAAACGAAGAACAACTTTTGATGAACGACATGCTTATTTTTAAAACTATAACTTGGTACTATGACAAATAATCTGAGATAATTCAAAATCGGCGAAACAAAGCTGATTGATATTTTAGTTGATGAAACATAAACAGATCTTTTTAACGTATTCAACATTGTATAATTTGTTACTTTACTTTGTTACCAATTGCGATTAAGCTAGCTTGTGGACTGGAGTAAATCGCTATTGTCAATAAAGGTATACCATATAATTATTATTGTATTTAATATTTTGAAACTATTTAATTTGAAACTATCATGCAACATCATTTAACTTCAATATTGATTTAAATATTATTAAAAACTACCGAATGAATAATTCCATAAAAATGCATTTTTTGCTCTACTTGTGGAGTCATAAATGGTATGTCACTCTACAGCTACAATTTTCTGTGATTTCTCTAAGGCTTTTGACTGTGTAAA